TAAGTAGAAAAAGAGTTATGTGAAACATATTAATGTAAATTGTATATAATGAAAACGTATTCGCTCGTAATAAAAAAACAGCTCTTGATAGTTTGCTTATAAAAACTTGAGCTCTTTATTAAATAAATCCTACTACCTAACCCACACTTTCCTTAATTACCTCCCGGTATTCTACTAAGTGGCATAGTAGAATTATCTTCACGAAGCCCATAGATTAAACCATGATTACCGTACTCCCGAAGTGATAATTAACCCGTACCTTAGTAGTAGGAAAGACGACCTAAGCTTTAGAACATCCATCTGCCAAATCTAACCGCCTCTTTCGATATGGTCGTCCAGGTTGCTGATCAATTAAAGATCGGTTTGGTCCCGGTGACCAAACCGTCTGTTCTCACTATGTAGATCATATAGTGATCTGCGTCACGTTACACTATGTTATTTGTTCGCGAATCACCAATTAATAATCTTGCGTAAAAACAAATAAAGAAATAGTTCTTAACATATATATAAATGAAAAATTCATTACAATTCTGTATTGAAGAGAGCTAATTTATTATCGATAAAATGAAAATTTCAATATTCACATAATAAATTTAAATTTAGGACTCGGATTTGTCTACTTCACGAATTTCATTACAGGTTCGATCGTGAAGAGCTCAAGATTTTTATTTCGTTTAATCTAGGGTTTTAATAATTTATCGGATTTACCCGTTCCACTTCAACAAATACTTCCGTCGAATTATGAATACCAAATGGAAAATTAGAACCCATAGTTACTGCAGAAAACGTGATGATCGGGCGATTTACAGTTGATTTATTTGTAAATCTCAATACTAAGGAAAGTGGTTTAATGAATTTCAGGAAACATCAAAAACTACAATGCGGTTAACACGAACCTATCCAGTTAAAGGAAGCAAAGTAATTTTTAGAGAACTGCGACACTGTATTTATAGTAATTTAGTAAAGCAAAAAAATATTGGGCGTGAAATTAAAATCCTAATAGTATGCGAAATAGAAACACAGAATACACAGCAACACTTAATCTTCGTTTAAAAAAGTCTAGTTTTACGAATTCAGCTTTACCACGGTTTACTCATAATTGTGTTCCTAATTCTTCTGTTGCACTTGGTTTTCAACCAGTTAGTATCGAAACTCAAAGTCAATATATTAATTTATTCCGAATGGGACATTTAGCAGCTCTGCAGATCGATCAAAAAATTCAGACAAAGGTTTTATAAAATATCTTTTTAATAAATTTCGTGCTAAACAATTAGGTGATCAAAATGGGCAAGGAACGTTCGAACAATTACAGAAATGTGTTGATATTTATAATAATTCTGGGAATGGGAGTACAGCTCTTGAAATTTACAATTCTTAACTAATAGTCCTTTTATTCTAGACCATTGAATGATCATAATGAAAGTATTCCTAATAATGAAATTTCTAAAGACTTAAACATCACTTGGGTGACCTGCGGGTTCACTGTCGGGTTACCCAGGTAATAACGGGTATAAAAGTTACCTATTGTACCTGGGTAAGTAGATCAAAGGTGTCACTGAAGTTAAGACGCATTTACTGCAAAGGATGGAATACTTGTACTTGTGTCTGTTATGACTAGTGATTTAAGCCATATGGTTTTGGTCAGCTGGCTTAGCCAGCTGACCAAAACATCGGCTAAGCGGCTTATATTAGATTTTTCCTTATGCCAGCCATACTAATTCTTAATTCTGGTCACTAATTCTTAAGCCGGCCTAACTAATTCCTAATGCCGGTCCAAACTAATTTTTAATACCAGGCCAACTAATCCTTAATGCTGAGCCTAACTAATTCTTAATGCCGGCCTAACTGATTCTTAATGTTGGCCTGCTTTAGCCGCATTAGCCAGCTGACCATATTTTATCAGCTGGCTTAGCTGCGGCTGATTTAGATGGCTTAAAACACTAGTTATGACTAAATATGCTGGTGAAATAAAACTAGAGTACTGAATAATTTCATCATTATTGGTGAAATTAGTAGTAAATTGGTGAAATTAATTTCGCCAGCATCTCTATTCGCAATCATGCGTATGCATGGAACTCGTCTCTATTTTGTTTCATGGATTTATGTTAATAAATCATCTTTATACTCACATACTCTTTGAAAGGTATTAGGTAATTTTCACTGGATCACCGTTCACCTTTCATCAGAAGTTTCGTCTTTCGCCAGGGGTTTCGTCTTTCGCAAACAGTTTCGCCTAACAACTATACTCGCGACACATTCAACATAAAATTTACATAATTTTACAAACCGCAATAATTAGTTAATCGATTAACTTGGTCAAACAATTAATAGTTGGTCTAAAAATTATTACCCAACTAAGTCAACTGAACGATTAATCGATTTTTGATTCATATCACTATTTTGGTGCGTTTAATCTGTACGAAAATTTATGGCAAAGAGTATTCTTGCCAACAATAGATCTTAACAAAAAACATAAAATAGGTTCTGAATATAAGATATGTTTAAGAATACGTTAATTAAATTAAAAAAAAATGTAACTCATTAATATTTGTCGAAACTACATTGAGAATTATAATCAACAAATTTTAAGTAAAAATTTATATTTTACATTATTTATTTAAAAGTTTTATATATAATAATTATTACAAAATATAGATCGAAAAGAAAACTAGTATGAACATGAATCGGAGATTGTAGATTTTTTTTGTGATTCGATCTTTTAATTTTCTCACGAAAATCAAACAGCAATAATAGAGCAAGTTTAGATTTATACTGAAAATCACTGTTACACGATTTTTTTTTTTTTAATGAATATATTTTGAAAACATGTCTTTCATAGTGATGGGACTACAGATGCTAAAAATAGGTGATACTTAATTATCGCATTCAATAATTTATAAAGAATCAAATTTTTTTAATAGATCACGGCATGTGACAATTGAATTTTTAGCATCTGTAGTCCCATCACTAG